GGTGCGCGGCGGGCAGGTGCAGCAGCAGCAGCCTCCTGCGGGTCTCTTTGCGCCGGACGAGAGGGGGGTCAGGGCGTTGGGTTTGCTGCTGCAGCAGCAGCAGCAGCAGCAGCAGCGTTATGGCGCGGCCTCGCTGCCTTTGGATTCGCAGCAGCAGCAGCGGCTGCTGGACGCGGCGGCTGCTGCTGCTGCTGCTGCTGCGGCGCACACTCCCGGCGCGACGCCAGCGAGAGCAGCAGCAGCGGCGCTGCAGCAGCAGCAGCAGCAGCCCTTCCTCGATGTGGTTCCGCGGATGGAGACCGCAGCAGCAGCAGCTGCTGCTGCTGCAAGAAGGGGCGGAGCAGCAGCAGCAGCAGCAGCCGAGTCCTTCGCCCCTGTCGCCTCCAGCTCCCACGTACGACCAGCTGCTGCTGCTGCTCCCTTGCTGCCTTGCTGCTGCTGCTGCTGCTGCTGCTGCAGGGGAGAGAGCGTTTGTGCGTGGGTGGCGTGCGCAGGGCCCGGGGTGGAACAGCAGCAGCAGCAGCAGCAGCAGCAGCAGCTGCTTCGGCGTGGGGGAGGGCGAGGGCCAGCTGCTGCAGTCGCTGCAGAGCTGCGTAGTGGTGTCTCCTTCTGTGGCTCTTTTTGCTTTGCAGCCTTCCTTAAAAGCTGTTGACCCTCTTGCTGTCGAAAGGGCCATTCGAGACATCATTTCTGCTGTCGTCGAACGCTCAGGTGCTGCTGCTGCTGCTGCTGCTGCTGCTGCTGTAGTCTTGCTGCTGCTGCTGCTGCTGCTGCTGCTGCTGTAGTCTTGCTGCTGCTGCTGCTGCTGCTGCTGCTGCACCCCTGCTGCTGCTGCTGCTGTATCCTTGCTGCTGCTGCTGCTGCAGCAGCAGCAGCAGCAGCAGCACCCCTGCTGCTGCAGCAGCAGCAGCAGCACCGCCGCTGCATCCCCCTGCTGCTGCTGCTGCTGCTGCTGCAGTGTCGATATCTTGCGTGGCGACTCGGGAGTTGGTGACGAAGGACTTTTGTTTGGAACGCGAAGAAGCTCTCGTGAAAAGAGCAGCACATTTGATGGTGGCGTCGCTCGCGGGATCGCTCGCGCTCGTCACCTGCAGGGAGCCGCTCCGCGTGGCGCTCACGCAGCACTTGCGGCAGCTGCTGCAGCCCACAGCCAATAAGGATGACGCCGACCAGGTCTGCTGCTGCTGCTGCTGCTGCTGCTGCTGCTGCTGCTGATGGTGGTGGTGATGCTGCTGCTGCGGCTGCTGCTGCTGGTGGTGGTGATGGTGGTGGTGGACACTTCCCCTGCTGCTGATGATGATGGTGATGATGGTAGTGATGGTGATGATGGTGATGATGGACACTTCCCCTGCTGCTGCTGCTGCTGCTGCTGCTGCTGCTGCTGCTGCTGCTGCTGCTGATGGTGGTGGACACTTCCCCTGCTGCTGCTGCTGCTGCTGCTGATGATGATGATGATGGACACTTCCCCTGCTGCTGCTGCTGCTGCTGCGGATGATGGACCCTTCCCCTGCTGCTGCTGCTGCTGCTGCGGGTGGTGGTGATGGTGCTGGTGATGATGCTGATGGACCCTGCTGCTGCTGCTGCTGCTGCTGCTGATGGACCCTTCCCCTGCTGCTTCTGCTGCTGCTGCTGATGCTGATGGACCCTTCCCCTGCTGCTGCTGCTGCTGATGGACCCTTCCCCTGCTGCTGCTGCTGCTGCTGCTGCATTGGTGTTGCTGCTGCTGCTCCATCTCCCCGAAGCGGGCACCCCTCGAAGGGCGCAATCCGACTCAAATTCTTTGCGTTTTCCATTTTTCTCGAATTTATTTCTTTTCTCGAATTTATTTCTTTTTTCGAATTTATTTCTTTTTTTCTTGAATTCATTTCCTTCTTCTCGAACTTATTTCTTTTTCTCGAATTCATTTCGTTTTTCTCGAATTTATTTCCTTTTTCTCGAATTTATTTCCTGTTTTTTCGAATTAATTTCCTTTTTCTCGAATTCATTTCTTTTTTAGTCGAATTGAGTTCCTTTTTTCTCGAATTTATTCATTTTCAGTCGAATTTGGTTCATTTATTTATTTCTTTTTTAGTCGAATTTGATTCATTTTGGGTCGAATTTGACTCTTTTTTACTCGAATTCAGTTCCTTTTTTCTCGAATTCATCTCCTTTTCTCGAATTTATTTCCTTTTCTCGAATTTATTCCATTTCAGTCGAATCTGGTCCATGTTTTGTCGAATTCCGTTCCTTTTTTCTCAAATTTATTTCCTTTTTTCTCGAGTTTCTTTCCCTTTTCTCGAATTCATTCCCTTTTTCTCGAATTCCTTCCATCTCCGTGGAATTCCGTCCATTTTTCCTCAAACTTCCTCCATTCCCGTCGACCTCCTTCCCTTTTTTCCCGAACTCCTTCCATTTTTTCCCGAATTCCTTCCATTTTTTCCCGAATTTCTTCCATTTTTTCTCGAATTAATTCCATTTTTCCCGAATTAATTCCACTTCCTCTCCAACCCCCCGTCGATCTTGTTTTTCCCTCTTTCCGCAGGTCCTGGTGGAGCAGGTGGTGCAAATAGTGGGCGCGGACAACTTGGACTTGGGCTGTGCAGTAATAGAACAAGCAGTGGTTGAAAAAGTGCTGCGCGAAGTCGAAGTCGCGTTGGCCCCGGCGTTGGCCGCGCGGCGGCAGGCGCGAGAGCGGGGGTTGCCGTTTGTGGACGCGGTGTATCTACAGCGCAGCGCGTGGCCGCTGGCGCTGCCGGAGCCGCTGAAGGTGCGGCCGGCGTTGTGTGCGCGGCAGCTGCAGGTCTACAAGGACTTCATGGCCCTTGGCACGCTGCGCAAGATGCAGCAGCAGCAGCAGAAGCAGCAGCAACAGCTCCTGATGCAGCAGAGAGCCGCGGGGTACAGCAACGCCCCCTGCACGACGCCCCCAAGCGCAGCGAGTCCGCCCGCGACGGCAGCTGCTGCTGCGGCGGCAGCAGGCGGCGCGCCAGCTGCTGCTGCTGCTGCTGCTGCAGCAGCAGCAGCAGCAGCAGCAGCAACGGGAGTCCGCGAGCCGCTCCCCATCCCCCCCGTCGGCTCGCTCAGCAGCGCCGATGTGCTGCAGCGCTTCGAAGAGTCGCTGCTGCTGCTCAAGGAAGAAGTTGCTGCCATCTTCTTGTGCCCCCCAGTCATGCCTTCGTCGCCTAACACCGAACGCGTAATTTGCTGCTGCTGCTACTGCTGCTGCTGCTGCTGCTTTTGCTGCTGCTGCTGCTGCTGCTGTTGCTGCTGCTGCTGTTGCTGCTGCTGCTGCTGCTTGTGTTGCTGCTGTTGCTGCTGTTGCTGCTGTTGCTGCTGTTGCTGCTGCGCAGTAGCAGCAGCGGGGGAATGGGACGTGGACTGTGTGTGCTGCTGCTGCTGCTGCTGCAGTTCAGCTGGCCGGCGGGCTGCCGCGCTGCTGCTGCGCCTGTGCCCGCCTGCTGCACCACTGCGCTGCTAGTTGCTGCCAGCCTCCCCTCCGACGCAGAACTCTTTTTGCTGCTGCGCTCCTGCCTGGCAATAGCAGCAGCAGCAGCAGCACCAAGAGAAGCTGCTGCTCTCCTCACCCACGCAGTCCTCAAGACTATGCTGGCAGCAGCAGCAGCGCCGCAGGCCCGGCCCGCCCACTCTTCCATTCGCGGCGTCGACAGACTCGGTAAGTTTCATTTTATTAATTATTTATTTAAATTAATTAAATTAAATTAATTAATTAAATTCATTTAATTTAATTAATTCATTTGCTGCTTCATTTGCTGTCGGGGGATGCCCGGCGCTGCTAGACGCGCCGCCTTTGCTGCGAACGCCCCATCACCATCTGCTGCTGCTGCTGCTGCTGCTGCTGCTGCTGCTGCTGCTGCTGCAGCACTTTACTTGGAGGTGTACGGGGCGCTGCTGGAGGGCCTGCTGCCGTTCGGGCCGCAGGTAAGGACTTTGTGCACGGAGGTGTTCTCTCTGACGTGCACGACAGCGGAAGCAGCAGCAGCAGCAGCAGCAGCAGCAGCAGCGCCAGCAGCAGCAGCAGCAGCAGCAGGCGGTGCAGGGGCCGCGCCCAGCAGCAACAGCCGCCGCAGCAGCGTTTCTGTTGCTGCTGCTCTCATTCGCTACAAGCTGGTGCTGCCTTCCGAAGCAGATTTGCTGCTGAGCCAGGAGATCAGCAGCAGCGAAAGACATGTTGCTGCTTTTGAGTTTGCTGCTGCGCTGCTGCGGCTGCTGCAAGAGCAGCACTGCTGCACCCGCACCGAATGGCCACTAACCCTAGCAGCAATTGCTGCTGCTCGAATCAGCAGCGAGCAGCAGCACCTCGAGGAAACCCGGAAGAGACTCATGGAGGGCTTCAAGACAGACAACACCCCAGTATGCTGCTGCTGCTGCTGCTGCTGCTGCTGCTGTGGCTGTTGCTGTCTGCGGTGTTGCTGCTGCTGTCTTGCTGCTGACGCTGTGCTGTGGAAATGTCTTGCTGCTGCTGCTGCTGCTGCAGCTGATGGTCATTTGCATTGTTTTGGTGCTGCTTGTGGGGTTGCTGCTGCTGCAGGAGGAGCCTTTGGTGTACAGTCTGCTGACGCTGATACAGCAGCACCAGCAGCAGCAGCAGCAGCAGCAGCAGCAGCAGCCGGTGGTGCGTCAGCTGGCGTGTCTGCCGCGTGTATCACCGCAGCAGCAGCAGCTGGTGGAGCGGGTGTTTCGGGACTGGCTGCTGCTGTGTGCTGCGACGTCGGGGGGCGGTGCAGCAGCAGCAGCAGCAGCAGCAGCAGCAGCAGAACGCAGCTTCATTGTGCGGGCGACTTTCTTCCAAAGAGTTTCTCACCAGGGGCTGCTGCGGATGGACAGCCACACGGACCGTTTCTTTGCAGTGTCTTTGAAGCTGGCAGTTGCTGCTGCTGCTCCTCCGCTGCAGCCGCCGCCTCCGCGCGCAGCAGCAGCAGCAGCAGCAGCAGCGGGAGCCGCAGCAGCAGCAGCAGCAGCAGGGTCCGGGGGAGGCGGCGAGGGCGCGTCCGCTGCAGCGGGGGAGGCCAGCAGCTCTTCGTCCGCTGCAGCGTCGCCAGCAGCAGCAGCAGCAGCAGCAGCAGCAGCAGCAGCAGCAGCAGCAGCGCGGGGCCCCGCAGCGCAGCCCGCAGAAGTCAGCGACTTGGGGGTTTTTAGTGTCGACGGATTCGTTAAAATGGTTGTCGGAATGATGAGTCTTGTCGATCCAAATCAAATCTCTCCAGTGACGATTCTGCAGCGAGCAACAGCAATAGTTTGCAGGGCCATTCACGAGGAGGCCGAGCTGCTGCTGCTGGTCCCGCAGCAGCAGCAGCAGCAGCAGGTGCGTTTCAGCAGCGGGCGTACTACCGGCTGTTTCTGCTGCTGATAAAAGAACTGGTGGTGGACTTGGAAGCAAGGGGACAGGAGAAGCAAGCTTTGGGGTGTCTGCAAACCCTAGGAGAGCGTTTGCTGCTGCTGTCTCCTTTAAGAGTTCCGAGTTTCGCCTTCGCGTGGCTGGACCTTGTGGGGCACCATTTGCTGCTGCCGCGGCTGGCGCGCTGCAGCAAGTTGTGGGGTTTGCTGCAGCGGCTGCTGCAGGAGCTGTTTGGCTTCCTGCGGCCCTTCATGCTGCTGCAGCAGCAGCTGCTGACCCCTGCAGCAAGACTCCTCTACCGCGGCGCGCTGCGGCTGCTGCTCGTGCTGCTGCACGACGCCCCCGAGTTCCTCGGAGACTGCAGCAGCAGCATTTGCTGCTCGCTGCCCCCCACTTGCGTGCAGCTGCGGAACTTAGTGCTGTCGGCTTTTCCGCGAGCGATGAGACTTCCAGATCCTTTTTCTGCTTCTTTAAAAGTTGATTTGCTGCCAGAAGTCCGAGACACTCCTGCTGTTTTGTCTCCTTATTTGCTGCTGCTGCACTCGCGGGGGTTGAAGCAGCTGCTGGACGCCTACTTCGCGCGGCGGGACCCCGCGCTGCTGCCGCAGCTGCTGCCCAAGTTGCTGCTGCAGCGCCCCCAGCAGCAGCAGCAGCAGCAGCAGCAGCAGCAGCAGCAGCAGCCTGCTGCTGCTGCTGCGGCAGCCAACACCAAGTACGACACCGCGCTCATCAACGCCTTCCTCCTCTACCTCGGCAACCACGGCCAGCAGCCCAGGCCCCTCGCCCCCCACCCCCCGCAGCAGCAGCAGCAGCAGCAGCAGCAGCAGCAGCAGCAGCAGCAGCAGCAGCAGGAAGAGGGCGGCGGCGCCCCGCTGGTCTCCAGCGAGCGCGAAGCCCCCCCCGCGCCGGGCCTGCCCGGCTCCCGCGTCTCCTCCCCCGCCCCCGCAGCAGCAGCAGCAGCAGCAGCAGCAGCAGCAGCGCCCGCAGCAGCAGCAGCAGCAGCAGCAGAAGTTGCTGCCTTCGTGTTCGGGGCCAGCGACGCAGAGGCCAGGCACTTGCTGCTGTCCGGAGTGGCCAACCACCTGCGCTACCCAAACTCCCACACTTTCTTTTTTTCTTGTTTGCTGCTGCGACTTTTCGCGGAAGCAAAAGAAGAATTCGCCAAAGAACAAATCACCAGAGTGCTGCTGGAAAGGCTCATTGTCCACAGGCCACACCCCTGGGGGCTGCTTATTACCTTCATCGAACTCATCAAAAACCAGAGGTGCGAGGGTTTAGGGTTTAGGGTTTAGGGTTTAGGGTTTAGGGTTTGGGGTTTGGGGGGTGGAGGGGGGTTTAGGGGGGTTTGGC